GAAGCTCTGCACAAGACTTTTGGCCAGCGGAGAAATTAAAATGGTCGTGCCCAACTGAGTCTGGTTCTCTCAAGGTTTTTTTTTCTTCACTCCCATCAGGTGGTTTTTTTTCCCTCTCCGCTGTCGCCACTGCCTCGCATGGTTCAGGATTGGTAGAGCTACGCATCGATGAATTTGCTCTTCAGTGTTTGAACTCTCAGTAATGATTAAATCACACTGAACTGAGCTAAACTGAACTGAACTGAACTTAAACACTAAAACCTGAACCACACTGTTCCAGTTACTGAACCACACTGTTCCAGTTACTATGACCATTTATGTGAAGCTGCTTTGACACAATCTACATTGTAAAAGTGCTATACAAATAAAGCTGAATTGAATTAAATTGAATTGTTTCATTTTCATTTTCACCAACCCTTTTACCAAAAATTTTCATATCAACTTTCTCCTCTTTAAATTAGATTTTTTCTGGTAAAACATTTATTTTTCCCATTCTCATGTATTTAGTTTTTTGCTTATTAATTTTTGCTTCTGTTCCTTTACAATATCTGTTTAAAATTTCCTCTACTTTTTCAATACTTTTAATATCTTTTACTATTAAAGTGGTATCATCAGCAAACTGAAATAATTTTTGTTCTAACCATGTTCCTTTTATACATAATCCTCTTATTTGCTTTTCATTATCAATTGCTAATCCCAATGTTTCAGATACAAGTGTGTATAGTAGTGATGACATTGGACATCCTTGTCTTATCGATCTTGTTATTTTAAAATCTTTAGTTATTAAACCATTTACTTTTATACAGCTTGGTTGCTAAGGTGTTGCTATGCGGTTGCTAAGGAGTTAGAATGTTTTATTGGAAAATTAAAGAAATGCTAAATGAAATGGGGATTGAAAATGAGGTCGTTGATGAGGAATGGGAAACATTATTTTTATTTGGTTGTAAAACAGAAGGTTGTAAGATTCCACCCACCGGTCCAATGACAGAGTCCAGTGTTTTGGTCGAAGGAATTCTGCGTGTATGCCTTTTCGGATGCTTCTGGAAAGATTTTTTTTTTTCATTAAAATTTGTTGACCAATTTTATATCTGACTTGATGCGTATTTTAATCTGACTCCAATTTCAATTTTATAAATTCATCATTTACGTTTTTAGCTAATCATGTTATTGGTTGGGATTTTAATTTAGAATTTTATATTTTCTGGAATCCGATATTCTAAATTGTACATTCATTAGGGACCAACGACGCTCAGAGTTCCACGCCCCGGGTTTGCGTTTCTTCTCACGGACAATATGTCGACACTCTGAAAAAAGTCTGAAGATGCAGGATTAACTAATATTTGGATAGGCTGGTTGCATAACGCTCACCTAGTCCTAAAAAAACAGATCTTTAGCCAAGCCCTTGCAACTTGCTGCTTTCGGTTGTTAAATGACTAAAAGGTCTACATGTTATCGGCACGATATAGCTACGTATAATCAAATGCGCCTATTAATCAATTTAATTTAGGCCGTACTGTAAGGGTAACAAAGACTCCTCGTAATCTACTGGATACAATGAATTCACCAAACACCAGAATTAATCTAAAAAGGGTTAACATTTATTTTGGCAGGCAGGTAAAACAACACTTAGAATGAATCAAAAATTGAATACCAAACACAACTAATTAGCATAACATATAAATGCAGATAAATGCAAATACAAATACAAAGTTAAAAAATAATTTCATAAAGTCAGCATACCTGGCAATAGAAGAGACACACAGAGGCTGTGTGGGAAGTCTGGCTACAGAAACCTCCCCAAGTGTTTTGCCAAGATTCTTTAAATACCCATTACATTTGTGCAACAGTCATACATATTTAGCACCCACATATCTGACTCTGTTTTTAGAGTTAATTAACTTCAAAGGGTTACCCAATGTTTTGGGGTGAAATGAACTTTAAAGACAGTTCACCAGTTTACCAGTCACACCTGAATGATTATAATTAAAAAACAACATCAGTAAGGGAGATGGATGCGGGTGAAAGGAATGTTCTGATTGTGTTGTCCTGTCCCTTCTTCCGGATTCCAGAGTTTTTATGGTTTTATTGCAAGGGATAGTTGTTTAAGTAAAATCCAGTCTTACAAGGTAAAAACACAAGGTTCATAAACTTTATTTTAACAGTTGCAAGAAATGTGATATGGAATAGAAGGAATATTGTTAAAGAAAATAATAGCAAAATATCTGTGTGTAAATCATTTCAAAGAAAAATGTCTAAACTGCATAATGCTCTTTTCTATTATTGTAACATGAATAACAAAATTGATGTATTTGAAAAAGACTTTTTAAGTGGGAATACATATGTTCAAATGGCTTTATATAATGTACATGTATTATTACCTGAATGTAATTGTTTTACATTTTTGATATAAAATAAATAAAAAAAATAAAAATAAAAAATAAAAAAGGCGATGGACTAGAAGTCCATTGGGGTCTCCATGCGCAGGCTGTGCAAATGGCACGTCCTGAATGTTTACGTTTTCTTAAGTGTGGAAGACTAGGGATTCGATATAAGCAACAGGACCTTTGAGGCAGCATGCTGTGTAGATAAGCATTGATCAAATCACGCTTCTAAGGCATGGAAGGAATCTTTTCAATTGTTAAGACTCCATTCATTGCCACAACAACAGAGAGACCTTCTGCAGTTGTCATTGATCTATTTAATATCTCCTACATGACATGGAGTCCAAACTATTGTGTTGTACTGATGTCTATACCTACAACAACCATAAACCCAACCTCAAAGTAAACAGTTGTGTTTTAGCAACATCTACACCAACCATAAGCCTAAACCCCACCTCACGGTAAACTTTTGTGTCGCAAAGGTCTGCGCCGACCACAACCCTATACATTGCCTACTTGTAAAGCATTGCCATGGAGCCCGGATAGCTCAGTTGGAAGAGCATCAGACTTTTAATCTGAGGGTCAAGGGTTCAAGTCCCTGTTCGGGCATGTAAGACTACTTTTGTGGAGCCACTGCTTATGTTGTTGAGCTATCGGTTGCTCAAAGTTTCATCTGGATGCAAAACAAATGTACTAGGCATGAGGACATGGGTGTACAGGCAGTCTTGTAGTTGTGGCCGAGTGGTTAAGGCGATGGACTTGAAATCCATTGGGGTCTCCCCGCGCAGGTTCGAATCCTGCTGACTATATCCAGGCAGTGTGCAGGACTTAGTTCATGACCTTCCATGATTGTTTGAAACTCCATTGTTTCTTGGGAAAAGGGTTGTGCTGGAAAGGAAAAACAACAAAATTAAAACGGCAGCGCATGCTAACTGACTGCTCTGGGGGCCTTCAATTTTTTAAAGACATATGACAGAGAGTGAAGGACCTTCATCTGGATGCACAATACTTGTACTAGCCATGAGGCCATGGCAGTACATGTAGTCATGGCCAAGTGGTTAAGGCGATGGACTAGAAATCCGTTGGTGTCTTGCCGCGCAGGTTTGGATCCTGCCAACTACACCCAGGCAGTGTGCAGTATTTGGTTTGCGACCTTTAATAAAACAGCAGCGCATGCTAGCTAACTGCCCTGGGGGCCCTCCATTTTCAAAGATATTTGACAGAGAGTGAAGGTCCAGTGGCTGTCCCATAGCTTGCCGTGATTGTATAGTGGTTAGTACTCTGTGTTGTGGCCACAGCAACTCTGGTTGGAATCCGTGTCACGGCAGGTTTTTCAATGGCATTGGCGTTGCACTCTGTTGCCATTTATAATCTCCAGCCTCCTTTTAGTGCAGGGTGTGCTAATGGCTAAGGCAGTACAGTCAGTCTTGTAGTTGTGGCTAAGTGGTTAAGGCGAATTCAGGTCACTGCAGGATTCCTTACGGTGACATTGACATCACGCCTCCCTCTTGCCACCTGTTTTGTACAGCTCATTTTTTAGTGCATGCTGCAACTCTTACACGTCACAAGTAAATCTAAGCTAATGCCCCAATGATCCCAGTTAACTCAGTCGGTAGAGCATCAGACTTTTCATCTGACATTCGAGGGTTCAAGTCAAAGATGCTGTGCCCTGATATGTTGTTGACTTGCTGCCAGCTCAGGTTAAAGAGGCCCATCTCATCTCAATCATTGTACAGTTGTCTCACTTTCAGCAACAGCTTGCTGCTTTTGACCAGTTGACAGAACTCACATTTTAACATTAGAAATGGCTTTTGACCAGTAAGTAGATTAAGTCTGTATGCCTTATGTAGCAAGCTTCTAAAACTCAGATTAGCTTATATCATTTTATCAGTGGAGTTAGTTACGTTTGTGGAAGTCAAATCTTTAAAAATCTAGTCTTCTAGAACTTAGTACTTCTAGATTTAAAAAACTTCTAGATTTAAAAGGTTAGAAAACCGCTGAAGAGGACAGATGTTTGTGAAAGGAGAGCATTTTACACACTAATTGTGTTGTTAATTGACTTGTAAATCCTAACTAGTGGTATAATCTTGGTTTAAGAAATAATTGAGACAGTTTTAATCTTCTCTCATAATGAATGTCATATATTTTAAATACATTTTTAAATAATAATGGTTAGTAACAGTATTATATTAATATGAAATTAAGTTTTGTCTTAAAACTAATCAAAATGTCAGGCAGACTTTGCTGTGTGTTTGTGTGCTAATTCTTTTGTGTGTGTGTGTGTGTGTTTTTTTGACTCTGAAACTCGCGCGTGCCCAAATAGACACTCCCACACCATCCCACTTTTCTTCCTCTGACACTCCCCCCTAAACAGAGCTGGACACGCCCACTTTTCTGACTTTTTCCAAAGTAGAGGTGTGAAAACACCCTGCTGAAACGAGGGGGTTTCATGGCCCTTTAAGGTCCGATGAGTTGCTGAAACTCTTCCCACACCGAAGCTGCGGTCACACTAGAGTTTGAGCATGTGAAATTCTGTGGTTCCGTTTCTCTCCAGTGTGGATCCTCAAGTGTAGATTACGGGATGATAATTGGCTGAAACTCTTCCCACACTGAGTGCATGTGTATGGTTTCTCTCCAGTGTGGATCCTCATGTGTTGATTAAGGTGTGATGAGCAGTAAAAACTCTTCCCACACTGAGTGCACGTAAATGATTTCTCTCCAGTGTGGATCCTCATGTGTTGATTAAGCTGTGATGAGCAGTTAAAACTTTTCCCACACTGAGTGCATGTGAATGGTTTCTCGCCTGTGTGGATCCTCATGTGGTGATTAAGGTGTGAGGAGTAGCTGAAACTCTTCCCACACTGAGTGCATATGAATGGTTTCTCTCCAGTGTGGATCCTCATGTGGTTATAAAGGTGTGATGATTGGCTGAAACTCTTCCCACATTGAGTGCATGTGAATGGTTTCTCTCCAGTGTGCATCCTCATGTGCTGATTAAAGGATGATGATAGGCTGAAACTCTTCCCACACTGAGTGCATGTGAATGGTTTCTCTCCAGTGTGGATTCTCATGTGGCGATTAAGGGAAGATGACAGACTGAAACTCTTCCCACACTGAGTGCATGTGAATGGTTTCTCTCCAGTGTGGATCCTCATGTGTTGATTAAGGGATGATAATAGGCTAAAACTCTTCCGACACTGAGTGCATGTGAATGGTTTCTCTCCAGTGTGGATCCTCATGTGTAGATTAATGTTTGATGATTGGTTGAAACTCTTCCCACACTGAAGGCATGTGAATGGTTTCTCTCCAGTGTGGATCCTGATGTGAATCTTAAGACTGCTTTTGCTTGCAAAACTCTTCCCACACTGAGTGCAGGTGAAACGATTCTTGTCTCTTCTTTTCAAAAAACCATCAGTCTGTAAATTAGTTTTTTCCTCAATTTTAACATGATGTTCCTCCTCTTTACTCCTCTCATTCTCTTCAATTAGGTCTGAAATCAATAAATTAAACATTAGTTTTCATTAGGTCTTAAAAACTCTCATCAAAAGCTGAAAAGTGTAAAGACACTGGAAACATTGGCTACACACACTGTATTTCTGATGCACATTAAATGTAAAATAAATCAGATCATATTTTGTTCGGTCCATTAACGTGTACACATTTAAGCAGATTCAATTCAATTCATATTTATCAAGTATCTTTTACAATGTAAATTTTGTCAAAGCCGCTTAACATAAGTTATAGTAGGGATGGGCGATACCACAATTTTTAAATTCAATATGATACCGATAGTTCTTGTTAAAAATTTTACTATACCGATATCGATACCAATTATTATAAAAAATATTAATGTAATTTTTCAAAATGATGTTAATTAAAAAAACCATTACATATATATATATATATATATATATATATATATATATATATATATATATATATATATATATTAGGGATGTAACGGTATCAGAATTTCACGGTACGGTAATACCTCGGTATGAATGTCACGGTACGGTATTTATTGAATCATTTACAGGAAAAAACAAAACTTATGAAAATACTCCAAAAAAGTGCCAAAAGTGTCAATGACATACAAATTAGCCATCTATCTGTAAGCTTTGAAACAGGAACTTCAATTTTAATAACAAAAAAATATTAAACCATGTAAAAAAATTAAGTTTCAATTTAGTAGTGTTGAAAACTCATCACATTCAACATTTAATCACTCACTCACTTAGATAGAGATGGGTTTACAGGAAAATTATCATATAAATATAATCTGGTAAGAGCTGGTATCTCTGGGTATTTACAATGTCCCCTGCAACAGAAAAAAAAACCCTCTCATTTGGGACTGAGTTTTCTGGGACAGAGAGATATGACTTGGCCCAGGTTGACAGCAGTGGGTAACGTTGTGCATTGTCTTTCCCCCACTTGAGAGGACAAACCATGAGTGAGATAGAGATCTCATTTCTGCATCAATCTGATCAGTGTGCTGTGTTTCTGCAGTCCCCATGACTGATTATTATCGTATTGGGGGACGTATTCCCCAACTTGCAGGCACGTGCACACACAGGGCTCAACCTGTGCAGTGCACATGCCCTTTTTAGTCTTGGATAGAAAGTTCCCTTCCAAAATGATCAAAAGTGCCCCTGCGACGCGACATACCCTCCGTCCCCGCTTTACAGTACGCGCGCGACAGCTGATAAGAACTCGCGCGACAACACCGATATTCAGTACGCGCGCGGCAACAACACCCGCTTTAGGGTTTTCCTGCTCTTTTTGATCCCCGCTTCTAGCAGCACACTCCATTTCCACATTACTTGATCTGTAGCGACAACAGACCGCAAGGGATTATGGCCAAGCATGGGCTGATGGGAATTGTAGTTTCCGGTACCTCCCGATCGCTTCATTCGCCTGAGCAAATTTTCTCAGAAGACCTATAGTTTTACCGAGTCATGCGACTACGGTAATATCGAAAAAATTAATATTGCGGTATGACGGTATTTACAATACCGTTACATCCCTAATATATATATATATATATATATATATATATATATATATATATATATATATATATATATATATATATATACTGTAGTGTGTGTTTGTGTGTAATATAAACACCCATGCACATCCATATTGTATATACACACTGCATACATATACATACTGTAAATACACACTGCACAGATACACACACAGCCTTATATTTATTCTTATTCACCTAATGGTAACAAGAGACAAAGATTTACAGAGCTGATTTATTATTTTATTTTATTTTTTTAAATTTGTATTTATTTATTATTATACTATATATTTAAATACTATACTACTGTTTGCTCTGTTTACTAAGCTTATATATATATATATATATATATATATATATATATATATATATGTGTGTGTGTGTGTGTGTGTGTGTGTGTGTGTTTTAATGTTAATTTTATTAATACTTTGGCAAAACATGTGTAACATTTGTCATGCCAATAACGCAATCATTGAATGGAATTGAATTGATAGAGAGAGAGGGAGAGGTTTACCTCCTTTAAAACTCTTCTATGTCTTTAGTCAGAGGGAGACTGAGCAGAGGAACACTGGGCATCTTGTTTTTGTTTCACTTGTTTTCTGTAAGTGTCTATAAAGGCTGCTTGTATTTTTGCTGTGTTTGAATTTCTTATAACAAATATTGCTTGTGCAACGCTTTTTAAGCTGAAGACCACCACAACACGCTGCGTTATGTCTCTGCCATCGTGTCATTCCATAATGCAAAAGTGTGTGTGACTTGCGTGTGTTGAGTACATAAGTTATCTGAAAGGCACATGATCGTTCACGTGATATTTCGCCGCAGATTGATTGGTGTAACGTCTTGTATACAAAGCGTCACTGACAAGCCTGTACACAGCGCCAAAACATTTAGTTATGCAGAAATTATTAAAATATAGTTAAAATATTGATACTTTAAAAAAATATCGATACCAAATTAAAATCTTCCGAGTATCGATATATCAATACTCGAGAATCGATGTGCACATCCCTAAGTTATAGTAAATTGAAACTGTGTCAGTCCAGTTTTCAGAGTTTCTTACATAATTGATCATGAGTCATTTTGGTCATATTGATAAGACCGATTTGAAAGCTGTAAATGGCCTAATTTTATTCATATTTATTCATAATTACAACAAAATGTTTTTCTAAAATTTGTAAAGCAGACAAGGAACACTTGTTCATTCTGTGCCTGACTGGTAAACGCATCAAAAAAAAGTTCTGGGGTAACAGCTGAACAAACAGCTGAATATTTGCCTCGCAGACATGAGACACACCTGTACAGCATCTGCATAAAGGCTGGAATGTGCACCTTTCCCTTTGTGTGCTGATGGGTCATTTTTATCCATTCTGGGGTGATTTTGAATCTTAATTTGGCCAAAACTTTCTCTGTTTCAGCAAACGGACTGTTATTTGGGGACATCTTATTTTGACATATTCTGGAAAAATGCTTTGAAATAAAAAATAAAAACTCAATACACTCTGGGCAAATTTACTCCCTTTTCGTTATATTCATGGCTGTTTTTTCTCCATTTGCCTCTATTATAACAAAATTTTTTTTGATTGCAAAGCCATGACAGCATATAATCATGCATTTATGATTGTTGGTGTTTTCTGTGACGACACTCTACATTGTTTAATTGGTCTCCACCCATGAGTCGGCAAAAAGGAAATGGGTGAGAGAATAAAGGAAGAGGTGGAGGAGAGTTGAAGAGGTTGACTGAACTGTTGCAGTGCAGGGAAACAAGAAGAGAAACCGGGTCGAGACACGCATTGTAAAGTTAACAACTGGCTGTGAGAAACAAAAAGCAAAAGTATGTATTAAACCAACAGAGCAAAGACCGCTGTCTTATTACTGAAGTGCTCGTGACGTCGGCAAAGACTTCAGTGCAGTGTGTCCTGAACAAAATCAACTTACCAATTTATCTTGCTGGCATGGAGTCGGCTGCCTACACATCGGCCGGGTTCAATAACGCCCTCAACCTTCCCATCCACACCTCCACATTCGCTATTTCCCTTGATCCCTTCGCTCCGTGGATAAGAAGCAAAAGTTTTTGTTTTCTTTGCCCAAATTCTCATTTTGTTTCTCTTGTTAAGTTTTCTCCCCGTACTATTATTATCAGTATTATTTTTCCTCGTTTTCAAATCTGACGAATCTGCTGGCCTGAAATAATTTACATTTTTTTTCCTTTTGATGCGAATGGTGCGGTGTGAATGGCGCGATACACGTGAATGATGCGGTGCAAATTGAGCGTTTTGCGCGTTTCACGTGAAATGCTCGAGTTCAAAAATGTGAACTTTAGCAGACATTCACACTGCATTAACCAATCAGGAGCTTGCTCTTGTGGTGGCGTGATGGTGATGTAGCGCCTATTGTTGGTGTCCCGGGGGAAATCGGCTGGGTCAATTGGCATTTCTCTGTGGAGTTTGCATGTTCTCCCTGCATTTCGTGGGTTTCCCCCACAGTCCAAAGACATGTGGTACAGGTCAATTGGGTGGGCTAAATTGTTTGTAGTGTATGAGTGTGTACGGATGTTTCCCCAGTGATGGGTTGCGGCTAAAAGGGCATTCACTGCGTAAAACATGTGCTGGATAAGTTTGCAGTCCATTCCACTGTGGCAACCCCGGATTAATAAAGGGACTAAGCCGAAAAGAAAAGGAATAAATGTTTTTACTTATTTTATATAGCGCCAGTGCTCAAGGACGCAACAAACAGTAGGAGAACGAGAAAAGCAATAACTTTAAGAGCGTGGTTCACTTGGGCTTTGGCGCGGTAGGCTTGTAGTGTGAGTGCAAAACGCACCAAAGCCTGAAACTGAAAGCTTGACGTGACTTTTATGTGACTGTTTCATATGGATTTATTAATCAATCTTACTGTTGAATGAACGCAAACTGTCGTAGTTTATTAAATTAACAAACCCCTCACTGCAAGACAGCTGCGCACCTTCAGCAAACCTCCTCATTCTTGCAGCACGAGTACTTTATGATTTTTTATGAGCGCCAAAAGTGGTGGATCTGTTCGGCGAAATATCTGACTGCATGTCACCGCATCCCTAAAGATCCCACGACTGGCACGATATAACTAAAGAAATCTCCACTGTGCTGAGCAAGAATGCTCACTGAACAGCGCAGCATCGATGACGTAAGTGTGCCCAGGCCCGATTGTCGGGGGAAATGGGAGGGGGGACAAGCGTGCTTTGGCCCGGTTCGAGGCAACTGTACATAGTGTGAGTACGGCTTAATAATACATAAAAAAGAATGACAAAAGACATGAGAACAAGTAACAAGAAAGAAACTCATTCCTGTCTTTCAATAAGTGCTTATGTGCA